ATAATTACAGAGAGATGTTGGTGTCTCTATGAACATAAAATGTATGTAATGTATGAACTTAATTATGCTAAGTTTAAGCCATATTTTAAGGCAATATTTCATGCATTAGTGGAAAGGCCAATCTTATAATGCAACAAGCTCAATAAAAGAAATCATTTTATACAGTTCAAATGAATTAAAACAAGCTAATGCAACATAACTCTTAATTTCATTCAGTTTTATCTTCGAAGTGTATCCTTTTGCGCTATCCTTTTCTGTGGCCATAAGTTTTACATTTAGATCCAGAATAAGAAGAAAGTCAGGATAACTAAACGAATTTTAGTTTGCACAAAAAGAAATAGTATAAAGGAATAAATTACATTTTAAAATGTATTCAAATATATGATAACAATTGCTTTAAATTGTAACAATATTCTGCATTCTTCTGCATTTTCTTTATAATAATATGTGACCCTGGACCACAAAACCAGTCATAAGGGTCAATTTTTTGGAACTGAGATTTATACATCATTATGCATCTGAAAGATGAATAAATAAGCTTTCCATTGATGTATGGTTTGTTAGGATAGGACTGGCCGAGATACAATTATCTGAATATCTGGAATCTGAGGGTGCAAAAAATCTAAATATTGAGAAAATCACCTTTAAAGTTGTCCAAATGAAGATCTTAGCAATGCATATTGCTAATCAAAAATTAAGTTTTGATATATTTATGGTAGGACATTTACAAAATATCTCCATCGAACATAATCTTTACTTAATATCCTAATGATTTTTGGCATATAAGAAAAATCGATAATTTTGACCCATACAATGTTGACTTGAGCCTGGTTTTGTGGTTCAGGGTCACATATAATATTTATATTAGGTTAAAAATGGGACTGTTAATAATAAACTATAATAATATTTCTATGTTATTTTATATATAGCATGTGCTGCCTCCAAACACACATTAAATTGAATATTAAAGCCCTTACACTCTTAGACAATACTGAAGTTGCAAAGGTCTGTTAGAAAGAAACATTGCATTTATAACAAAACACTTATTTTTTTTTTGCAGTATGTATGTGCATGGCCAATGCTTGCAGGCTATGTTTTACGATATTTGAGACAGGTCTGAGTATAATTAGCGACAAGACAAAAGTCAAATATTTGGTTCACCTACCTTCAGAAACTTTTGATCCAAAAGGTTATGAAATAGCAAAATAAATAAATAAATAATAGATTAGAATTTTGAATCATATGTTTAAATGTTCAATGACAGTATGAACATTCCACAGTAAAAACATGTGACAAAGTTCTGTGATTTGCTTCGTCTGCCTACACAGAACAATTACTGCAGAGCTTTCAATCCACTCCTACCAGCAGACCACTCTAATAGTCATTGTTCAAAGGATTCTGGCACCTTCTACAGCCCTGGAAGGCGGAGATGATATTAGAAGGAGCGAGAAAGATGTCAGGTTGAACATGAACGGAGCTGACTATGGCCCACAGCAGGGTGACTACTGAAATCCTGTCATCTTCTACACTTACCACGCATGTGAAAGGGATAGTTCACCCAAAAATGAAAATTCTGTCATCATTTACTCACGCTCATGTTGTTCCAAACCTGTTTCATTTTCTTTCTACTGCAGAACAATCACAAAAGAAGATATTCTGAAGGATGTTTCAGCAGTTTTTGTCAATATGATGAAAGTCCAAAACAACACTTGATATTATAATCCTTAATTGTATGAACAAAAACAACCCAAAAAGATGCTTTTTCTATTTTTGTGTTTGACAGAAGAAAGGAAGAAATGTATGAGTTTTGGAATGACATGAGGGTGAGTAAGTAATGACAGAATATTAATTTTTGGGTAGACTATCCCTTTAAATGTACAGTATGTTCTAGTTTTGCTAGAGATCATTAAAAACAGATCTGTCAAATCATGAGCATTGATCGCCTATTCCTAGAAGAAAAACGATGCATTAAGAACCTTTTGAATTTGAAGATCAGGGTAAATTTAGCTTATTTTGTCTTCTGGGAAACATGTAAGTATCTTCTGCAGCTTCTAAAGGGGAGTACTAAATGAAAAAATATGATATTTAGGCAAAATAAGAAAAATGTTCATTCTGTTGATGCACTTAATGCATGGTTTTTCCTTCTGGAGCATCTGTGAGCATTTGAACCTTCTGTAATAGTTGCATACGAGACCCTCAGTTGTCCTCATGTGAAAAGATGGATCTCAAAATCATATAGTCATTGTTGGAAAGGGTTCAAATATGCAGAAGATGCTGGATAACCAAAGAATTTGTGGGACCTGAAGGATTTTTCTGAGGAACAGCAGGCAGTTGAACTGTTCAGGACAAACAATGGACTCGTGAACAACTATCACTAAACAAAAAAACACAGCTGTGGATCATTCAGGTAACAACAGAGTATTAAGAATCAAGTGTATGTAAAATTTTGAACAGGGTCATTTTTATAAATTCAACTATTATTTTCTCTTGTGGACTATATGTAAACATCTTTTATGTGAAATATCTTATTCAGGTCAGTACTAAATAAACAAAAACATGCATTTTGTATGATCCTCTTATTTTGGAAAAATAATTAACATTTTGCAGATTCTGCAAGGTGTAGGTTGACTTTTGACTTCAACTGTATAAATATAAATATATATTACATATATTTATTAAATATATACATGTATGCACACACACACACACACACACACATATTATGTAAACCCAAGCTTTTATTTTGGATGCAATTAATCTCAATTAATCGATTTGACAGCACTAAAAATTATTGTTAATTAATATTTTGTTTCACATTATTTACTTTTTATTGGAACACAAAAGTATAATTATTTTAAGAATTTATTTTGTAATATTTATTTTTTTAACAGCAGCCCACACTGGCCTTTGATATCAATATCCAGCAAAGGCAATAAATAAATACATAAAAGTATAAAAGTTGTCAATACTCTTCTGTTCAACAAAGAAAAGAAAATGAAACTATACATATGGCAAAATTGTCAATTTGGGGAGGGAGGGGGTTTCGGGGGGCTACCGAAACCACCAAAAATATTTAATAAATGAAAAAGGTGCTTGTAGTGGTATTATGGAGGAATACTCACTGGCAAGAATGACCATGTCCATTCCCCAAAATATGCTCATGATCCAGCCCACCATGACAATGGCAGTGATGATCTGGATGAAGGCGGCTGCGATGTTCAGCCAGAAAACACAGCACACGTGCCTGTCGGGAAGGTCTGTCCTCGCTCCGCACAGAACCGTGAAGGCTGAGATGAATGTACCTGTCACAAAAATACAGCGAGATGCCGTCAACATGGGACAATATGATCCTCTTCTGTGGTTAAAATAGTTAACACATGCAATATGACCTCAGTCTTGATCTCATCTTAAAACCGCACACTGTAATGATATCATTCATCATGGTGTGAATAATACCGTACATTACAGTAAAGTCTGAGACATAATTATGGCATAAAATATTAACAGAGGAGCTTGAATATAAATTAACATGGTGATTTTAGTAGCAGTCAGTGTCAGACATGCCTGTAGCTTTTATTACATCTGCGGTCTTGGCTGAAATGAATGTTTGTACTGTGCTTAAAAGATTATCATTGAATAATAATGGATATTATGAGTCATATGGATTACAAATGACAAATATGTTCTTTTTTTGCAAAGACAAATCAATAAATACTTGTCGCATGTTATTTAAGATATGAAGATATTCTTTTCATGTTCACTTTAAAGAGCAGTCTGCTTTTAAATCTGGGCACAAAGCAATTCCAAGGAGACATTTTCAGTATTTAAGTATGTGTTATGCTGTTCTGATATTTCCACAGATCTGCAGGACTAGTCTGAAGAAGAGTCTCATTTGGGAACTCTTGGGAACTTTAACCAACATGGTACTGTAACTCGCCAAGACATCTCAGATACATTTTTTTTCTATCCCCCTCAATCCAGGGCAATTAGGTTATGAATAGCTTTCCATATTTGTAAGGCCGATAAGCATAATTCACACTGAAGGAGTCTGAGCAAGCAGGCAGCACTATGCTGCCAAGCACAGTTTAGCATCTCATTAGTGTTATCACAATAATAGATTCTAATAGGGAGGACAGCGGCTGAACATTAGCATAGCCCACAAAACGAAATGAGAAATGTACTTTATTCACCCCGGATACAGCCTGTTCTTTAGTTAACAGTATGGTCTGCCACTATAAAATGCATGGCTGTTATTCAGAAGGACTGGGATAGAACCTCTTAAGTTTATCATTTGAAAGGGGCTTTCCAAGTAGAGAAGGGAAAAAAAAAATCACTTTTCACAGTTTTTTATTTCCACGGCCGTTATACAAACAATACACTTACTGTACTGCCCCAAAAGCAGCTTACAATACACACCAAGGAATTAAATAATGAGTGTAGGAAGTGGAAAAAGACATCCTTCTCTCTTAGTCCCTAGACTTGAGGAGAAGATATGCATAAGCATTCTCATTCATCTCAATGGCAGTTGCTGGACTGGCACATGCAGCCCTAGAAGTATTTGACTGAAGCATTTGAACCATTCTCCTGAGCTATAAATACCATGTGAATGATTACATTATATTATTACTTTTTGCACCAGATAAAAAGTCTGGCAAGTGTAGGTTGACTTTTGACTTCAACTGTATAAATATAAATATATATTACATATATTTATTAAATATATACATGTATGCACACACACACACACACACACACATATTATGTAAACCCAAGCTTTTATTTTGGATGCAATTAATCTCAATTAATCGATTTGACAGCACTAAAAATTATTGTTAATTAATATTTTGTTTCACATTATTTACTTTTTATTGGAACACAAAAGTATAATTATTTTAAGAATTTATTTTGTAATATTTATTTTTTTAACAGCAGCCCACACTGGCCTTTGATATCAATATCCAGCAAAGGCAATAAATAAATACATAAAAGTATAAAAGTTGTCAATACTCTTCTGTTCAACAAAGAAAAGAAAATGAAACTATACATATGGCAAAATTGTCAATTTGGGGAGGGAGGGGGTTTCGGGGGGCTACCGAAACCACCAAAAATATTTAATAAATGAAAAAGGTGCTTGTAGTGGTATTATGGAGGAATACTCACTGGCAAGAATGACCATGTCCATTCCCCAAAATATGCTCATGATCCAGCCCACCATGACAATGGCAGTGATGATCTGGATGAAGGCGGCTGCGATGTTCAGCCAGAAAACACAGCACACGTGCCTGTCGGGAAGGTCTGTCCTCGCTCCGCACAGAACCGTGAAGGCTGAGATGAATGTACCTGTCACAAAAATACAGCGAGATGCCGTCAACATGGGACAATATGATCCTCTTCTGTGGTTAAAATAGTTAACACATGCAATATGACCTCAGTCTTGATCTCATCTTAAAACCGCACACTGTAATGATATCATTCATCATGGTGTGAATAATACCGTACATTACAGTAAAGTCTGAGACATAATTATGGCATAAAATATTAACAGAGGAGCTTGAATATAAATTAACATGGTGATTTTAGTAGCAGTCAGTGTCAGACATGCCTGTAGCTTTTATTACATCTGCGGTCTTGGCTGAAATGAATGTTTGTACTGTGCTTAAAAGATTATCATTGAATAATAATGGATATTATGAGTCATATGGATTACAAATGACAAATATGTTCTTTTTTTGCAAAGACAAATCAATAAATACTTGTCGCATGTTATTTAAGATATGAAGATATTCTTTTCATGTTCACTTTAAAGAGCAGTCTGCTTTTAAATCTGGGCACAAAGCAATTCCAAGGAGACATTTTCAGTATTTAAGTATGTGTTATGCTGTTCTGATATTTCCACAGATCTGCAGGACTAGTCTGAAGAAGAGTCTCATTTGGGAACTCTTGGGAACTTTAACCAACATGGTACTGTAACTCGCCAAGACATCTCAGATACATTTTTTTTCTATCCCCCTCAATCCAGGGCAATTAGGTTATGAATAGCTTTCCATATTTGTAAGGCCGATAAGCATAATTCACACTGAAGGAGTCTGAGCAAGCAGGCAGCACTATGCTGCCAAGCACAGTTTAGCATCTCATTAGTGTTATCACAATAATAGATTCTAATAGGGAGGACAGCGGCTGAACATTAGCATAGCCCACAAAACGAAATGAGAAATGTACTTTATTCACCCCGGATACAGCCTGTTCTTTAGTTAACAGTATGGTCTGCCACTATAAAATGCATGGCTGTTATTCAGAAGGACTGGGATAGAACCTCTTAAGTTTATCATTTGAAAGGGGCTTTCCAAGTAGAGAAGGGAAAAAAAAAAATCACTTTTCACAGTTTTTTATTTCCACGGCCGTTATACAAACAATACACTTACTGTACTGCCCCAAAAGCAGCTTACAATACACACCAAGGAATTAAATAATGAGTGTAGGAAGTGGAAAAAGACATCCTTCTCTCTTAGTCCCTAGACTTGAGGAGAAGATATGCATAAGCATTCTCATTCATCTCAATGGCAGTTGCTGGACTGGCACATGCAGCCCTAGAAGTATTTGACTGAAGCATTTGAACCATTCTCCTGAGCTATAAATACCATGTGAATGATTACATTATATTATTACTTTTTGCACCAGATAAAAAGTCTGGCAAGCCTGTAAAGAGCCCTCTACAAAGAAAAAAAAAATCAGACATTGGTGAAATATCTATTATAATATATTTGCAGTTTTGTGGTTAATATGTTTAAAAATAATATTATTACTATTATATTTTAAATTTAATCATGTAAATATAAATATTAATTAGAATTTTATTAAAATGATTTTAAATATTTTAAATAGATTTTAATAAATGTAGAAATATTGTGAAATAATGTCTAAAATGTAATTTATTTCTTTGAATTTTTAAGATGAATTTTCAGCAGCAATAAATAAACAAATAGTCACATTTATGTATTAATAGTTAGTAAGGTAGTTGTTAAGTTTACTGTAGTTAAAACATAGAATTAAGGGATCTAAAATATGGTCATGCAGAGTAATGCATTAATACATGCTTTATTAGTACTAACAAACCGCCAATATGCTAGTAATATGCATATTAATCAGTATAGTTAATATTGAGAATTGGTTAAAGTGTTACCAAATAAATAAATAAATACTTCAGTCCTCATTACAATGATCATTCAGCAATCATTTTAATATGCTGATTTGGTGCTCAAGAATCATTTATTATTATCATCATCGAAGTTGAAAACAGTTGCGTCGCTTAATATTTTAATGTGACTTTGCTGAATAGTTTTTTTTTTTTTTACTAAATCTTACTGACACCAAACTTTTGAATGGCAGTGTATACAGTATAAATTGAAATTCAATTGAAACATGTGTTATATATTAAATATAATTTAAAACTGACAGACAGACAGACAAACAGATGGATAGACGGATGAACAGACGGACAGACAGACAGACAGACAGACAGATAGATAGATAGATAGATAGATAGATAGATAGATAGACAGATGGACATTTATATTTAGTTCATATTTCATCATATTTAATAAATCAACTGTGGATCAGGATGAAAAAACAACTTATCACAATGGAGTACATGTGTTATATTCATTATTCTTTGAAATATTTTTCTTTTAAATTCCTCTTCCTGTCATTCAAATTCCAATTCAGCTTACTCTAGGGTGGCAATTCGATTCAAATGGACAAATTCACAATAAATCAAAAGGAAGTCAGTACTTAGGTCCTGAATTTTGCTCAACCCTGCCAGCCATCCATCCATCGCTATGCTTTCAGGCTGCATGGCTGAGTGAACACTGCTCAGGTCTAAGTGACAAACAGAGCCTTGGGTGTTTGTAGCACCCTAATTAAACTGAATGACGCGAGGACCCCCACTCCACCATATTATCAAACACTCACACACACACTCGCAGGACAAATCAACTGTGTGATCTCGCATCAGGCTGTCAACAATGCTTCTGCCTGTCAAACTGCATTAAGCACGGGATACCCAGGCAAATGTCTGCTTGCATATGCCACACATATAATTTAGAGGCCACATCACACGTCATAACTATTCAACAGAGACATGCACACATTCACACTCGTTTTCTCTATGAAGAAGGGATGCTTGAAAATAAGATACAGTAGGGTGGTGAGGGGTCCTAGTCCCTGCACTTTAGGCTCACAATCACTATAATTTTCCTCAGCCTTTCTCACACGCGCCCCATTGCCAGTGTGGGAGGTTAATTATCCTGTTCAGTTCCTTTTCTTCTGAGAGAGACAAATGTTGCTAGGAGAGCGTGTGTGGAGGTTCTCAGGGTGCCAATGTCGTTTTTTAGCGCTCTAGGATGTTTTAAACATACATACTGTAAGCACGTTTGGTATAAATAGTCGTGGTGACCCTTGGAGATGCAAGGAATGAAAATCAGTTATCTTCTCTCCCATTGTTCACCCTCTTCAGACTGGAAGCTAGTAGATGCACCATTCAGTTTCAGGAAGTCATTCAAAGACTCTTTACTTGTTGATTGCACATATTGATTGAGTTTCTTCAAGTCAGACAGCATGGTTCGGCAAACCATTGCATAAAACTGGAGAGACAAAGAATGACCTCAAGTCTAACAAAAGAGAGATTTCAACACGCTCTCCCTCTCTTCAGATTTAAATAGAGCACAAGAGTAGGGTTATAGAGGTTATAATGCTACTGAAAATCTCCATAGAGATATTGATTTTTAGCAATAAGGAATAAACATTTCACGAAAGACCTATGCCTTTAAAAATATAAATTCCAAAAAGGGGGTATTCGCAGCGATGCCATAAAGATGCCATAGATAACCGTTTTCCTCTATGAAGAACCTTTTGTGCAATAGAAAGTTTCCATGGATGGTAAAGGTTCTTCATGGAACCACTGATGCCAATAAACAAACTTTTTTTAAGGAATGCGCTATGAGCTTCAAGCATGTTGGGCAATATATGCTTCTGCTAAAGCATGGGTGATTTCAAATTAACTACAGAATAGCTGACATCACTTCAAAAGTCAACCTGAAAGGCAAATTTGCAGGACTGAATTTCTATTTTACAATAGTAGTTTTTGATTTCTGAGTAAAATAAAGTTTGTGTTACTATAGGACTAAATTCACAAAATTCTCCTTTGATGTACACTACTTTTCAAAACTGTGCAGTCAGTATGATAAAAAAAAAAAGCTTATATTCAGCAAGGATCCATTAAATTGATGAAAAGTGACAGTAAAGACATTTTAAGGTCACAAAAGATTTCTATTTCAAACAAATGCTGTTAAATTAACTTAAATATATTAATTTATTATCATATATTCAAAGAATTCTGAAAAAATATATCACCTTCTCCGCAAAAATATTAAGCGGCACAACTGTTTTCAACCATGCTAATAATAAGAAATGTTTCTTAAGCAGTAAATCAGCATATTAGAATGATTTATGAAGGATCATGTGACACTGAATAAATTACATGTACATTTTTTAAACTGTAATAATATTTTACAATATTACTGTGTATATCCTCTTGAGGGAATCCATGGTTCGAAAATGTTAATGTTAACTCATGGCAATCTGAGTTTTTGTAAACTAGTGAAGCTATAAGATAAAGTCATTTTTGAAGTCTTTATTTTTTTAAATGCATATGGAGAAAATTAAGCAGAGTACATACAGCACCTCTCTAACATTTAACATTACGCACGCTGTGTTTGGTCCACAGGTGGCTAGTAAACTTGGCCCGAGAGCTTGATGTATAATGGAGCCATTTGGAAAGCGAGGTGAAGGATTAGCCTCAAGGTAGGCCTAGAAAACATGCACAGCGACCATTCCGGAAATTGAAAATTCCACAACAGCTCTGCGTCTATTTATAACAGCCCAAGGATGAGAGCCAAGACAGCTTGTGAGGAGACGCGACAAAGTCAGTCTGACTGCCTGCAGCCATCGCAGTTTTCAGTCATTCTGTGAGAAGCTGATTACTCATCAGTCATTTACTGGCTGTTCAATCCCTTCCGAAGAGAGAGTCATTTGGGTTAACACTGTCTTTTATGAGGCTCACAGCACCAATACTGCTCATTTAATACAGACTTTAAAGGGGTCATATGATGCTGCTAAAAAGAACATTATTTTGTGTATTTGGTGTAATGAAATGTGTT